AAAAAAAAAAAATTATTGATCCAAAGAATTAATAGCCTGTCTGTTTTGATCACGAAATTTTCCCGTAATAATAATCTACATAATGTGAAAAACAACAACAACAAAAAACAACAACATCATGATTGGATCATGATAATCCTGCGCCAACGCTTCAATTTGTTCCTGGAACGGTCTGAAATGTCTGATTATTCAACAACAGAAAAAAAACACAGAAACAAAAACAAAAACATGGGTGATTTTAATCGTAAAATCAATTTAAAAATTGATCAGATTAGATTTGTTGTTGTTGTTTGGAATTTTTCAACAACAACAACAAATTTGAATATAAAAAATAATCAAATTATCACATCAAACAAAATTTCATTCATATCATCATCATTATCACATTTTTTTGGCCAATTTTAAAGAATTTTTCGTTGATTTGTTTTGCTGACTTTCTGAATTTAGATTAATAGATCAGATTATTGTGTGTGTGTGTGTGTGTGTGTGGATTGTAAATCTGTTTGACCCCGATCATGGACATAATCTGGATCATTTAAGAAATAAAATCTGTCTAATGTGATGTTTGTCATTATCATTCACGAAAAACTGAAAAAGAGTTGAAAATAAAAACGAAACGAAATAGGCAACATTTAAGAGATGTAAAAAGGATTTTCATTGAACAAAATCTTTCAAAATGAAGACGATTTGAGAAAAAAAAAATTGAAAAAAAGCATATTTAAATTATCACATTTAATCGATCGATCGATCAATCAATCAATCAATCAAAAAAATTAATCTCAAATTTGAGAAATTTTCTGGGAATTTTGATCAAAAGGTATTATCCCATTGTCAATGTCATATTTAACCATTTTTTCAAATCAAAAACTTTTTTTAAAAAAAAGACAGGCGTCATTTCAAAAATTTTTTTGAAAAATTTCTTGACGCCCCCGCATTATAGTCAATTTTTACCTGCTTACTTGCTTGCTTTGTCTTTTTCCATTCATCATCATCATGTCATCGATCAATCAAAATAATTTTTTAAAATAAAGAAGATTTGCTTGCTGCTGCTTCTGACAATTGATTTGGTTCCTGATGCTGACTGACTGACCATTTCATCATTGTTCATGATCATTATCAATCAAAAGAAAAAAAATTGTCATTGACCATTGGTGGGATTCTTTGTTTTATAACTTTTTTTTTGTTGGTGGGATTTCAAAATAAGTCTATAGAAAAAAAGTTTTTCTTTTGTTTGTCGTTTGTTTCTCCTGAGAATTTTTTTCACTTTTTTTAAGTTATAAACGGGTAAAAAAGATTTTCTCATCATCCATGATGACCTTTTTTTTTAATTGGAAAAGGAAACAAAACAAAAAAGCAATAAACAAATGCTCAGAAAAGGGTTAACACTTCAAGTGAAGCAGAAAGAAACTTTCCGGCAAAAAAAAGGTGGTTGTTTCAATGGTCAACAATAATAAAAAAAATTGTTATATTTTTTTTCATCATCATCATCAACAACATCAGCCTTTTGTGAAACAACAAGATCAACTTTCTTTCTTTTTTTTCACTCGATGTGATGCTTCAGTTTTTTCTTCGTTTTTCTTTTGCTACTTTGCCGCCGCATCATCAACATTATTTGCGGAAGTATTGTGTGTCGTGGCCACGAATGGCCATCCATTTTTTTTTTTTTTTTGTTTCAAAAAAGTTATTGGCTGCCGTTTTGGATTGTGTTTCTCGATCGTTTTTCTTCGCTTTTGTTTCATGATTCATTTTGTGTTCATTCAATTTTTCACACTTTTTTGTTTTGTTTCGGTTAATTTTCGGATAAAAAAAATGCCTAATGTTCCGGACGAAACAAAGATGAAAAAATTGGATAATGATTTGATCGTTTGTTGGCCGGTTATTATCGTCGTCGTCGTCGTCATCATCGTCGATTAAATGGCACCCGGTAATAATATCGATTTCGGTTTCCCCCCCCATTTCACTGCCACCCACACAAATTGATTCAAATTATGATCATGATGGTAATATCAGGACAGAAAAGAAAAAGAAATTCAATGATTCAAAATTGATTCAATATTTTAATCTTATTATTATCGTAAAAATGAAATGTATACGTCATTTATTGATGTTCATCATCATTCATTCATAAATGAGATACATTGTTGAAAAAAAATAACAATGAAAATTTGCTTGTTTAGCAAATTACTTCCTTTCGTTTACGTTTGTTTGTAAACCACCATCATTAATCATCATTTATTTTGAAAAAAGTAAAAGAAAAAGTAAAAAATTATTCAATTTTCCATCATTATGTAATCGATCATTCCATTTGTAATTCTTTCCGCTATTTAATCTCTGTTATTTTTTTTTATAACGATGATAATTGAATTACAACATTGTAAAATCGTTGATTTTTCTTTCAATTGTTTTTCTCGTTGACAATGACTTCACTGAACGAATCCATTTTTTCGTTGTTGGTTGACGATGATGATATTTTCTGATATTGACCGAGATATCTTTTCTGTATCAAAAAAACGAAAAACATTTCAAGATTTATGATTTTTCGATCTAAATTGTGGTCAAAGAAAAGAAAGTGAAAAACTTTTTTTCACTTTGAATTCTTTGAAATTAACGTCCTTTTGAACTTTTTTTGCTTGAAAGTTTTTCTAGAAAATTCCATCAAAAAAGATGACAACAAAAAATGATGATAACATCTGATGAAAAACGGTGATTAAAAGTTGTAAAAATCTTTGAAAAATTACTGATTATTTTTCATTAAAAAATGATTATGAAATTAACATGCTTTTTTCACCAATTTTCGATAAATATTTTGTTGTTGTTGTTGTTGTTGTTAAATGAAAAACAACAACAACAACGAAACAACAACAGCAACAAAATGCAAATTATTATCTCGATTAAATCATCATCATCATCAATGCCAATTATGATAATAATTGTGATACATTATATGTTTTGTTTTGTTCATGTCGACTATATCGACCTAATGGATGATCATTTAATCTTCAGGCAAGAAAAAAAACATCAGACAAAACAAAGCAGAAAAACATTGAATAAATGGACACTTAAACCGGCAGTAATGCGTTTGTAGCAAATCATCATCATTTTGTAGTTTGTATACAAAAGATGCTTTTGAATTTTTTGTTTTTTGATGAAAAAAAAGGCAGTTAGTTATAATAAACATCACATTATCATTTAGCAATTGTTTTTTTTAATATTTCGTAGTAAACGTTTGATGTTGTTGATGATGATAATGATAATAATAATAATGATGCGGATGACCGATAACACAGGTGCAAACACGTGTGTGTGTGTGTCGATATAGTCACTTTTGTTTTTCGCTAAATACTTTTTTTTTTGTTCGTGTGGATTATTC